TATTTACAAAACGTTTATTTACGGAAAAGTGACAAGAGCTAGGAATAAAACGCAAGAGGGTAATTTTGTTTAAAATAAAAAGTGGATAATAAAAAAATATCAAAAAAATGTTTTCACCAGTGGCTTACCACAATTTTCTTCGAAAAACCTTACGGTATAATCCGTACGCACGCCACTGAGTAACTTACAAAGCCAATCTTTTTCCTGTTACTCGGGGATTATCAAATTAAGCTATGGATAAAATTTCATTCCATTACCTTCTAATGTTCGAAAGTTATTGGAGAAAAACTAATTTTTTTTATATTTTTTAACGCCCTGTAGCTTGGAAAAGAAAACCCGTAGAGCATAACTTCATATGACAAAAATTTATTTTTTAAACTAAAGAATCCACCGATTAATTTATTCCCAACCTTTACGTTACACCCTGTATAATGTGTAGAAAATTTCTATTACATGTTCATTTGGTCAACAACATAATACTTCAATTATTTATGTTCTCAAACAATTTTATTATATTGATGGTAAATTTTGGTTATGACATATCAAAAAACATTTACATTTTCATTAAAATATATTACTGCTGAGTAGGAACGAATGGGAAGGTGTAAACATATCCTTGCCAGGAAAGGATGACGAAAGGTTGTTAGTTTAGATTATAAAAGTTATTAAATAAAAATAATCAATAAAATAATTCCGCATTACTGCACTGCACTAGTACGCAATTTGTCAACAACTGAAATTTATCGCCGGTCGCCCAGTGCGGTTATGTTTGTGCGCCGTTTGCCCGCACGCACATTCTTCAACTGGACGTATACATTTCTACCACCTCCACGTTTAGTTCGACTAGACTTGTACATATACAGGGTGATTCACAATTTATCCAAAAAAATTTGGGAATAGATGCGGCATGAGAAATGGATCAATATTGTAAAAATAATTTTTGTAAAATCCTTATAGTTTCTGAGAAAAAAATTATTGAAGTTATAGCACATTAAACCACTACATAGCTAGACAACTGTAGTCTCTAGTGTCATTCGCAATACGCGTGGAGAGCCATGTGACTCCTAATACTGAAATCCGTCGTTGCGGTAGTTTTTACCTGTTATCTGTAATGTTTACAACAGTTTTTTAGTAGTTAGTGTCAAAAATGGTTTGCGTGTATAGCAAATCAGAGTTGATGGATATCGTTTTAATTTATGGTAAAGCAAGACAACATTTGTATTATGGTGAAGCATTTGTGTTATGGTGAAGCAAGACATCATTTGTGTTAGTTCGTAGAAAGTGAGTAAGACGGACCCAAATGTGTTTACACGTGAGTGGATAAAATTTTGAACAATTGCTGTTGCAGCATCGGGTATGTCAAATGATTTTATTATTTAAAAACACAAATTAATTTTATTAATAATTAATAAAGGCAAAAGCATTTGAATTTGCCGATATAAAATAGGTGCGATAAAATTCTATTTACATATTTCTTTCCTTGAGAAAGTTTTTGTCCGTTTTTATCACGCCGTCATACCGGTCGCATTGTGCGAGTTCGGGTTTTACAGTGGACCAGTTTCCAGTGCCGTGCAGAAGTGTATTTTCAAATCAATTTCGAACTGACCTTTTTGATTTTTTCTTTACAAAATTGTATTTGTAAGGGTCCCCTGTACATCCAAAATTTTTTTTTTGGATAAGTTCTGAAACCCTGTATAGATGTGGCTAAATAAATATGGGAACAAGTTTTTCAAATATTTCATTGCCTAGTTACTGTGTAGCGACCTAACCTGGACATATGTACTGCCTAGCTCTTTGGTCTTCAATTGAGATAGGAAATAATATACATACATGGCTACACGATTGTCGAATATGTATATCTGTTATCTTTTTTTTCAATATTTTGGGATCACAGCATCTACATCTTTCATTTTTTAAATACTCTAGACTCTAAACAAACTTTTATACCAAACTGTCTTGAAATATGAATAAGACATTCGCCACATCATGAAGTAGAAACAGTTTTCCACAGCAACGTCGAACTGAGTTGACTTAAATGTTGTGTCTAACATTGCACTAAACATTCGTAGCATCATGTGGCGCCTGCTTTAATCTCAAATGTTATCTGGTAGCGTTTGTGCTATTAATTTAAACGCTCAATAAAACATGAGGCGGCAATTTCACAGTAAGTCGTTTTCGTTTATTAATATAATTAATATAAAATATAAACGAATTTGCCTGGCATTTGCAGGGCTTACTTTTTAATTATGCGGATGAAGAGTGCACATTCTAAAAAAATCGACACACGGGGCGATAAGATAAGCAAATATTTGCCCGTGTCCTGCCTTCGTAATCCAAACATATCGATTACGGATGCATCGGTTGCTCTATAAAATATCAAAAAACTTGCATATGTACCTTACAATTTCAAGGGCGTGCTCGTTGGCTTAACGTAAATATATACCGTATAATAAATCATCACTATCATTAGATCGATTTGCTAAATACCTAAGGTTATTGAGTTGGAAGTTGGTAAGATATAATAAAAAAAAACTACAATCTTTATGGTTATTGCAATTGCTGTGGAATATTAATATAATGAACAAAATAATTCTTAATCGGTGACATAATAATTTAATGCGCTTTTAATATCTATAAATGACAATCAGTATTCAGAGTAATTTTATGATAGATATGATTTTGCAGTATTTCACCAACGAAATTTTCTTTCTCTCTTAAACGAGTAATTTTTCGAAATAATTATCGGGTGTTAATTTTGTTTGTTAAAGTGTATCTGAAGATGTTTTACATAAACTATGAGATTTGGACTAATGACGTAATTGAGTAAAGCCAAAAATCTGAATTTGTATACATATACAGTGTGTTCTATAAGCTTTATGACAAACTTTGACATATGATAGCTGAGTTAATTTTTTCTTATGTGAACATAGGTCCGAGTCGGGTTAAATTTAGAAGTATTAAAGAAAATGTTATTTCATATTTCAATCAAAGTAGCCTGATAAATAATAATGGTGGTTACTATAACATTAATTATTATTTGTGTCATTTTGCTTATTCATTTGACACTTAGTGTTAAAGTGGTAAATAAAAACTGCATTTATTTACAACTGAAGAGTATGCAGATATTGTTTATTTGTATATGGGTTTTCCAATGGGAACACCAGACAAACAGCCTGAGAATACCGACGAAGATACCCAAATAGGCATCAACCTGCCGTCACAGTCTTTAGTGCATCATTTCGTAGACTTCGAAAAGAAGGTAACCACGCTCCAAAAAAGGCCATCCCGTCCTATTGAAGTGAACGTGCAAAATGAAAGAGATATAATAGATGCTGTCAATGAGGTACAATGGCATGGCCATCGCGTTCCCCAGATCTGAATCCTTTGGACTTTTATTTATGGGGATGTATGAAGCAGCTTGTCTGCCATATTGAAATCACTACCCGTCAGCAGTTGCTTGAAAGAATTCAGGATGCAGCTAACCAGATAAGAAATGGTCAAAATCTCATCCGTCGAGTGATGGAATCTTTAGTTTGCCAATGTGAGGCTTGCATTCATGCCCATGGTCGACATTTTGAACAATTTTTATAATCTTAACATTTGTTAATTTGGTTAATAAAGGTTAACTAATGTTTAAACACATAGTAAATATTGTTATAGCAATCAACGATCATTTTTAATCATAAGGCTACTTTGATTGAAAAATGAAATTATATTTTTTTAGATACTACTACTAAACAAAAACGAATCGCACCTATGTTCATATAAAAAAGAATATTTGAAATTAATCCAGCTACCTTCTGTCATAGAGCTTGTAGAACACCCTGAAAGTCAACCAGTGGCGTAGAAAACGAGTTATTTTGGAGTTACTAATTTGCAGTACTTCGAAATTACCACGACTTCTTTAAACTGTTGATAGTATTTAAAATCATACTTATAAAATTTTTACATATTTTTTCTCTAATACTTTACAGTTACTGTCGATTTATTTTTTCTTTGAAATACATTTATGAAACAAATGCACCGAGCGAGTGGCGTCGAAATTGTGAAGTTTTAGTGACAGTGAACTTGTACAGCTTGACCAAACCTATCTTGTTCGCGAGATGCGCAGATCAAGAAGAGAGTCCGTGGTAGGAGCGACAGAAACAGGAGACCTGAATAGTAGGGCAGTAGGTTCAGGCAGAGAATGAGTTCCGGTGCTAGTCCAGCAATCTTACCACTGCAGACACTCGCGGGCAAAATAAATTTGGTGTCATTGGCCTGTTTCATCAATTTGCGTCAAACATTTTCAGAGACATTTGACATGCTGCTTCTTGAAAACTAAAGACACAGGTTCATGCGATCTTTTATTGTTTTTAATCATAGAATCATCCGTACAATTTTGTCATCCTGTATATGTAATATTTTTTTGTGATCATTCCATAATTTGTCGCTGTTATCATGAAAAGTCTAATTAGACATTTGTGTGGTAGAAATGAAGCATACATATTTTGACGTGTTCATCGAACTGAGAAACTGGAGATTATTGTTGTATCGAATCCCAGAAACATAGTAGCAATAAAAACTAAAATTCAATATGCGAGCATGCTTTTTAAATACGAGTATATGTATATCAAAAGCGGATTGGTAAATTGATTTATTATATGTTTGATATTCAGTATATTTAATGTTGGTAATATATCACCCTGAATTTGAATAAATTAAAAATTTTCCAAGCAAATAATTTTCATTTAAGATTTAATATAATTAAAATAATTATTTAAGGAGTTACTTTTTTAAGAGTATAATCAAACCAAAAAAATAATCAGCAAGGGATGGGATGGAATCAATGTTATTATTTAATAATTAGCACAAAAACATTCATACATTTTTTTTCTGACGAATAATATTCCGTGTTAAATTAATAATAACATGGGACAACCATTCCTCGCTGCTAATATTATATATAGTTTTTTTCTTTTAATACAAATATCTAAACTTCAGACACTTTTTTTGAACAGGTCCAACTAATCCGATCAAAACCACTTAATGGCCCCATGTTCAAATTAGGAACTTATGTAAGTAGAGTATATAATTTTTTAAACATTCAGTCAATAATAATTGTCAAGTAATGAAAATAAAATATTGCCATAAACATTAGACGCATCACAATCATCAAATTCATAATATTGTTGGTACTTTAACCAGACTTTAACCACTATAAAAAAAACATTTATTTTTTAATGGACGTATTGTTTTAATAAATGTAACATAACGTAAATCAAAATGACGCACTCAAAAACACAAAATTTTGTGGGTACCTATAATTTGTATTGGTTGAATTTGCTTACTAATTTCGGGAACTTCATTATGCATCCCATCTTCATGTCATTCTTAGATATTTAAGTTGTGAAAGAAATTGTATTTTCATGAATGTAAAAACAAAGAAATTTTTAAAATTGATTACAAATAAAACACTTAACAAATACACTGGGTATAATGGACCAGAGACAATAATAATGTAAAAAACTTGAATCCTTAATTATTGTCTGTTAAAAAAATGGGACTGTGACAGGGTGTATCGAAACTTTGTTACTTTCTGAGACAAATATAGCAAACTGTATTGGAGGGCTTACAGCAAAAATATAGAACAAGATACAGGGTGGTGAATTAACATTTTTTACAATTTTATATCACTAAACTCTTTTTTAAAAGTTTACGATTATAAAATTATTTATTTTATTCATATGGGAGACTGATAACATGTTTCACCCTGTTAATTTTTTACCAATGATACCAGTTTAAATTTTTTGTTACAGTTACAGAGTTTTATTTAACTATAATATTGACAAGCAGTCTACCACAACGCAATTCAATGATGAAGATATTTGTATGTACTTTATTACAAATTATAACTATTAATAAAATAAAGAGAATAATAGCCAACAGGAGTGCCATCAAAACTCAGTTTCTTTAAAATTACGTTATGTTAACTTTTAATCGGGACAATAATGACACAAAAAAATTGTAATAAGTTCAATTTCTGTGAGTAAATAACAAATTCCAAATAGATGGGTAAGATGAAAACATGGTGCTTATACAGGGTGTTTCAGAAAACATGGGCCAACGCTCGGGGGCAGATTCCTAACCCAAAAGCAAGATTATTTTTTCACATCAACATGGGTCCGATTTCGCTTCGTTCCTTAGTTATAGGGTGTCAAAGTTTTAAAATAAAATATGTTTTTCCAAAAATCTAGATTTTCAGTTGAGGGAATTAAATAAAATTTGAACAACTAACTATTTGCAACCGAATACACATTCCTAAGTATTATTTGGTGAAATAGTAGACTTTTGTCAAAAAGTCGGTTTAATGGTCTTATTCAGCGCTGGGACTCACGAGGTGACTTGGTTTTACAATTCCCTTCATTCCTTTTTTTTTATTTCCTATACTTCTCCTGTAGTAGTCCCTTATTCCAATTACCTCAAATTTGTATCCATTTGGTCCATGGTCTGCTTCTTCTCTTCCCCGTTACTTTTGTCAATACTTGTTTTGTCCGTCTCGTCTCTCTTCATATCTTTGTAAATGCTCCAACCACCTCATTCTTTGTGCTCTAAATATATCTGTTATCTATGTCTTCCCATAACTTTCTATCAATTCATCATTTGTTTTACTCTGTCACAGCTCTCCTTGTCTCTTTCCTTTATGAGTACATTTTTCATGATCCGTCGTTCTCCTTTCATGTATACTTGTTGTGAATCATCGTGATACCCTGTATATGATAACTGTGCAGGCAGTAAACAGTGGACACTTTGTTGAGCTCTATTTTCCGGCACAGCCACACTAACGGGGCAATAAAACCAGAAATGAATGTCAAAATCCTTCCATTCGGCTTATTTGAAACTGTCCACCATTAATTACGTGCCGTTGGTTTATACGTAGTGCACCATTTTTTAAATTAACTTCTGATCTACATGCAGTTTATTTTTGCCATTATACTTAGTCGGGGGGCACTAACTTCCATGTGTCACTGTAATTCACTCTAAAAAGTTTATTCCAGTTCTGTGAATTAGAAAATGGATAACTTTACCATGAAATTGTGTAATTTTTTTACTTCGAATCGAATTACTACGAATCGCATTTAGGAAATGAAAGTGAACAACTAGAAATTACATTACCTTTAACGTTATTAGAAATAATGGAAGAATATTTTCTTCCCGTAGTGTAATCATAATTAAAATTGAGTTTTTATTTCACCTTTAGTAAAATAAAGGTGAAACCACATTACGAACATTTGCAGTCATTAAAAGTGTTTTATCGGTACAGTCACGATATTTTCTGTTTAGCTAGTTGTGATTCCGACATGACGAAATCAAAATAATAACGCCGTATTTATATTATTTTGCCTTTTTATGCCTAATTAATATAGATTTTACACCAAATGCAGATTTGACATTTAAATCAGTCAAAATTAATGTCTCTTGTTTAACACAGGGGCAGGCTTGACCGCATAATTACTTGCTCAAGTTATACATGGAAATACGAGTAAGTTTGTTATGCTTCCCTATACAAACTGGTTTGTGCAAGTTAGCAGCGGGTACGTATGGAACGGCCATCGGCCAACTTATTTTTTATGTATTCCTTTAAATATATGTGTACATTACTTACTTTTGTTTTCCCTGTGCAACATGCTATTAAGAAAACTGGCTTTTTTCTGTACTAAATAATTTGTCTCAAAATTCATATAGACGACAAAAATAAAACAGTATATTTTTTATAATTTAATTTATTTATTGTAAGAAATAAAAAATTGAATCTGCTAATAATGTATTGCATTAGATAAACTGTCCATCTCGTAAAATGAATTTTTATATTGCATTTTAGTTTTAGAATAAGAAATGTATAATTTGCCTTCGTTTAATAAAAATCTAAATTTTCTTTAGAGGACTGAAATAAAATGTTTCTTTTTTTTCTCATGAGCGTTTTTCGAAATTTGGAGAAACTACACAAGTTTTGGCATTTTTTTTAAATGTCAGTTGATAGAGAAAATTACGGGCTTTTGTTCAGCCAGGGGATTTTTTCCTTTCATTGGCGATAACGTTCCGTTAAAAATTAAACAAAATGACACATAAAGTTAGATTTGAATGAATTAACTGAACATTTTCTCTTTCCTGGGCTGTAAAATATTCGGAGAGATTTACATAAAATTTTTACTTTCATGGACTTTAATTTTATTTTTTGTGGTGTGAGATTTGGAAATATGTAAGCACAATTGTGCAAAACTAGTTTACAAAATGGCATATAAAAATTTGGTACTTCGTTGATGTGTGCAAAATTGTTAATGTAATTGTGCAACTTTGTGCAAAATTAATAAATATAAGAGTGTTCAATTGTTGCTTGTTTTAGTTGGAGGGAACGGTTAACTTCATACTATATAAAAAGTCGTGTTAGTTTCTCCTTCATATATGTACATGCATTTAGAAATAGATGTGCAAAATTGTACAAAATTATAGTATATTTTATGTATACAATTTATTAATTCGAAGTCAATCTTGGCAGGCTTAAATTTCAAGAAGGTATTATACAAAATTCAACAATACTCAAACAGAAGTGAAATTTTTAATTAAGCGAAAACTAAAATTAGAAACACCATTGAAGTAATTCAAAGACCCACTAAAATTAATATCAAAATAATTTTAATTAATTAAATGTTTATGTACATTTTAATTTTTTACAATTGATTTTTTTATAAATTTAAACTTGTGAATAAAAGGGTTTATAGACTGTACGTAAGTAATACATTTTTGCACCGCCTTTTAGTCATTCTCTGTAAATAAATATATATTTACAAAGACCTCTCGACGAGCAACAATATTACACAATATTTAAACATGACCGAGTTGATTGAGTCCACTTATTACAAGATTCAATAGTTTTGAGTGTTTCGTATCCGTATCTTGATGAATGTTGCAATAAATTTTAAACGTATTTCTACTCCTTATAACCAATAATGGACCGTTCACGTTTAATAACGTCGCTCCACTAACATATTGTGCTGATAAAACGTTAAAACCAACAATAGTAATGAATATCTAGAAGACATTTGGATAGAAATCTTGAAAACACATTTGGATGTATCATTAGCCTTGATATAACAACATTGCCACTTAAGACTGTATAAAATTACACTAGATACAATTTTTTTTACTTTTACGGCATCACTATTCACGGTTTTATAACCAAACTTCAGCCATGTACATTACTATAACATTGCTTATCTCTCAATTTGTATGATTCATTTTGAATGACTTGATGGTTTATGAAACCGTACATTTTTATTTAAACTTCTGAGTTCCATTACTCTGAAAACAATTTTACAAATTATGCAGGATATTTTGAAAGTAATATAATAAAATTTATCAAATGCTAGAGTATTGTTCAAATTATGAGTGTCAGTAATTATTGCCCTATAAATTTATATTTTCTATTCTACCACTTCAAAAGACTTCTGTTTATAGGCTACCAATTTTTATTCAAATCCGTTTATATATTCATGACATTTAACAAAGAAATATTAGCTTTTCAAAACTCCGCCCTGTAATCGAGAACTAAGGTATTAGTCCAGTTGGTAGAGGTTCGGCCTGTGTCAAACCTTGATAACCCGGAAATAACTACAGGCCTACTTTAAATGATGAGTACAATAACAGGCTAATTTGCTGACAAAGTATTTTATCAGGAAAAAAAGTTATTAACAATTTAATAGTGATTACGAAATTTATAATAACAAAGCCGTGAGATTGAAAAAACGTTATAAAACGTCAATTTTTTAAAGTTGCTGTAAAAATGTTAATTATAAACAAAACGTAATAAAACTTTCGAACACTATAGTTCAGTATATATACAATAATGACGCTAAAGCCGAAAATCAGGAGAGCAAAACTTTTTGTTCTATAAGGTGTTATAGTTACATTCATCGACATATGAAGCTCGAAACTGCCAAATTTGTTCGAAGCTTTGCTGACACTTGAAATTTGGTACACACATAGTGTATATATGCAGACACCAAAAGCAACTTGCAAA